GGTTACATACGCTTCAGGTTACATATGCTTCAGGTTACAGACTCTGCTAACCCAGAAATAGTGCTTCAGGTTAAGAACAGAAATCGTGCTCCAGCGGCAGCAGGAGGCCCCATTAGCTAAAGTGGTGCTTCAGGTTAAGAACAGTTTCTATTGCAAAGTATTGGAAGACACAAGATTTACCCACTCTGGAAGAATGGCAGATGAAGGTGATGGACTATATGGAATTGGCGGAAATGACTGGCAGAATCCGAGACCAGGGAGAAGAGTCGGTGGAAGAAGATTGGAAGAAGTTTAAAGACTATTTGCAGAAATACTGTAAAATTAATGAATGTTAAATTGATGTTGGATTGAAAACAAGTGGTTTTGGTAATAAGGTTAATAAGAATATGTAAATATTGATAGTTATATGGATGAAAATATACAGTTATAATAGGTTAAGATACAGAGTAAAGATAAATGAAAGAGGGTAAGGATTTGCTGAAAGGATTTTCTAAACGGGAATACAAAAAGGGGAGGTGTGAGGAGGTCAAGGAAACAAGTAAATGAGCCTAAAGACATTGAAAAATGGACTTTTTCTTTTTTTAAATATTTTTTCTTTTTCCCCCCTCTATTTTTTAGCTATCTGTTTTTTGTATTTTGTAGCATCCTTTTTTTTTTCTTTTTATTCTTCTTTTTAGGTCTCTTTTTTGGTACTTTTTTGTTAGCTTTTGTATTTTTTTTTCTCTCTATGTGTAATTTCTGGTTTAATTTTTTTTTAACTCTTTAAATCTATGTTTATTGTAAAATCTCAATAAATATTTTATAATAATAAAAAAAGAACAGTTTCAGGTTAAGTACAGACCTCCGGAACAAATTAAGTACTTAACCCAAGGTACCACTCTACTGCTTTTTAAGGAAGAGGATCCCATATGTGATCAGCTAATCGCATTTGAAACAATATTGCATGCTTGAATACATTTCTCTGCTTAAACATTTGTATTGTTACCGGCCACCCCAGTCCCTGCCAAGGCATGCCTGGGATTCCTTTAGAGAATTGAAGATGTGGTGGAGGTTGTCAGAGCTTTAAGAAGTATGATTTATTCATGTATTTACACCTGAGTTTGGATGGAGGGAGTCCAGATCTTATAGCATTGTCATCTCAAGAGGGACTTGTTCACCACAACAGTGCAGCACTGGAATCCAAGACAGCTCTCCCAGCCTCCCTTCAGCCAGCTTGCCCAAGGCGGATCTCTGTCCTTGTTCTCTCCCTTCCTCTTTCCAGTACACTTTAGCAATCTCTGTCTGCCCAGGACCAAGGATTCCTCTTAGATGGGCCATCAACATCTTTTGTCATGTTAATGGGTTTGTTCTTCACTAGCAGGGCTGGTTTGCATAAGCCAGGGGTCAGCAGCCTAAGGCCCATGGGCCACTAGTGGCCCACGGGGGTTGTTTAACTGGCCCACGAGCCGCCCACACAGGCGCCGGAAATCACAGGCGTGCGAGATCCGGCCTACAGAGGGATCTCTGCTGGAGAGAACTGGCCCAGGCGAGGTAAACCTTGCCAATCCCTGGCATAAACCAACCCAGGGATTCCTTGTCTGGCACAGCTTGTTATTTTTCTTCATACCCCAAATAATGGAAATCCTACCATTTATGAATTTCCAGGGTTTAGGTTGGTCCCACCCCAAACCTATAACAGCATCATTTAGTAAAAATATGCTTTACAAACTATGGAGAAATTCAAAAATGGTGTTTTATCACCACCTAGTGGTAAGATGCCATTTTCTAAAATTCACTTTGCTTTCTTCCAGGTTACACAGTATGATGATTAGGAAGTCAATTGTATAGAAACTAATATAACAAGATAACCAGTTTTGTGATACATTGTAATTTTTTTGGATGGGCGTAAAGATTACATGATTATTTCAGCACAACAATCTTGTTATGCATGAACTGTTTAACAAAATTAAAAGGTTTCAGTGTTGATCCCTTCTTCTCAGGCAAATATTTTGTAGATACTTAACACAAATTCTCTTTTTAAAACAGAAATGCTGGCTTAGGTGTATGTTCAATGACTTGCAGATTTGGTGGTATTTTGGCTCCATTTGTCCCTTCCCTGGTAAGTAATACAACTTTACTTCCCTCTATTGTATTGCATTACACACACGATATTTAACATTAAATGAAGCAGGGATACATATGCTATAGTTATACATGGCCATAGCTGATGTGACCATACTCTTGCACTTTCCTAGTAAATGGTAGGTTGCCTTCTGTGGACTGAAAATATTTTAGCACAGTCCATTTTCTTCAGCAGAAGTAGAATAGAACTGTCTTCAACAACAGTACATCAACAGCACATCAAAAAAGTATTGAGTTGTATCCAACTAAGTTATACACACTGTAGATCAGTTGAAATTAAGAAACCGTGTTAACCACAGCTGTAAATTTTAGTAGGTCTACTCTGAGTAGGACTAGCATTGGATACAACCCATTGATAACAGGACTTAAAGTGAGCTGTCATTGAATTATTATTATTATTACTGTATAACCTATGGGGATCTGTATATATACAATTATATTTTTTTCAAATGACTGTCTTGGGAATATGCATATGAACTGAGTGGGTAATAGATTTGTTGGTATTTGTTCTTCACTAACTTGTGTAAGTGTATGTGTGTCAATTATGAATTTATTACTAATTTCTTCTAGAAATCCCTTGGCCCATCTGTACCATTTGTGGTCTTTGGAATCAGTGGATTGTCAGCTGGTTTCCTTACTCTTCTACTACCAGAAACTGTGAATAAACCCATTGCAGAGACCATTGATGATTTGCAGACGCCTACCTACCAAATACTTAAAAACAAAAAGGCAGAGTAAAAATGATTTTTTAAAATTTTTTTTGAAGTAACCTCTGTCCCTACTAGAATCTAGGAAGTCTCTAATTTATTTGAAATCTGAGAGTATTCCCCCCCCTTTCTCCTTATTTCTCAAATGTACATACTTAATATCTTTTTCAATGTCTAATGAAAAAGAATTCTCCAAAAGTTGGATGTAATCTGTTTTTTATTTGTATATAGGAAATGATGTTCTTAGCAGAGTTTCTGTGTTATCTCATTCACTCGTCTCCTTGCTTGCTTTTACTTAGTCATGCTGTTACTGATTGGCTATTTAATGTGTGGTATCAGGAAGAGCTCTTGGTTTCATATTTCTCATTCCATCATTATGGAAGCCATCTGGAATATTTTCCTGTAGCAACAGACATATGGCAAATAAAACTTTGGAAATGGTGAAGTTTCTTAGTTTTGTCTGTTTTAGTGGTTGTCATGGATAAGTTTCAGCAAAATTGCCACTTTAAAAAGAAATGTAATTCTGATCCCATAATAGCAGTGGCATTTGGGAATTACAGCTATTTAATGTAAACTCTTTAAATCTATAGAACATTTCAAAGTATTCAGTTAAGGTTTTCAGATGAGAGAAAAGTTTGTCATTTCAGAGGAAATGAACATTTTTGTGAAGATATTTTAAAATTATTTGGTTGATGTAAAATATACAGTTGCTAATTTTTAAAGAACATGCATTGAACAAGTAAATTATTTCTATTTGACATATGTAGCTATTAGCTGTGGCAAAATTTGTCAGGTAACTTTTTCAGTACAGTCGTACCTTGGAAGTCAAACGGAATCCATTCCAGAAGACTGTTCGACTTCCAAAACGTTTGGAAACCAAAGCATGGCTTCTGGTTGGCAGCACGAAGCTGCTGCAGCCAATCGGAAGCCGCGTAAGCTGTGCCAGATGTTTGGATTCCAAAGAACAGTCTCAAACTGGAACAATCACTTTTGGGTTTGCGGCGTTCGGGAGCCGAAATGTTTGACTTGCAAGGTGTTCGGGATCCAAGGTACAACTGTATTTAAATGCTCATGTAACTGAAACACTTGAAATAGTTAGATTCAATTGAAATTTTGTTGGAGCATTTAGCATATTATTTTTTGCAAAGGCATTTGTAAAAAACACAATTAAAAATCACTTTACGTAGCCCTATAGAAGCAGAAGGACGTGGGTGGCGCTGTGGGTTAAACCACAGAGCCTAGGACTTGCCGATCAGAAGGTTGGCGGTTCGAATCCCCGCAATGCGGTGAGCTCCCATTGCTCAGTCCCTGCTCCTGCCAACCTAGCAGTTTGAAAGCACGTCAAAGTGCAAGTAGATAAATAGGTATCGCTCCAGCGGGACGGTAAATGGCGTTTTGTTCACTGCTCTGGTTTGCCAGAAGCGACTTAGTCATGCTGGCCACATGTCCTGTACCAGAAGCTGTACACATGTCCTGTACCAGAAGCTGTACGCCGGCTCCCTCGGCCAATAAAGTGAGATGAGCGCCGCGGCTTCCAGCTGTACAGGATTTAAAGTTATGGATAGATTAAGATTAAGGATTAGGATTAAAAAAGTTTAAAGAAATGGAAATTTGGTTTTTAAAAGGTAAAATTTTAATGTTATATTATATTAAGAGTAAAGATTGGGATTTAAAAAGAGGGAAAGAAATTGCTGGATAAACAATTTTGAACTGGAATACAAAAGAGGGAGGTACGAGGAGGTCCAGAAAATAAGTAAACTTAAAAATGGAGATGAAAAGATGATATTGTTTTTAATTGTTCTATTTTCTTTTTTGTCTTTTTTTTTGTTCCTTTTTTCCCCTTCTTTTGGATTATGTATTGTGTATTTTTGAATTGTGTATTTCTTTTTTATGTTTTATGTTTAATCTTTTATTGAAACTTAAATAAATATCATTTTAAAAAAAATAATAAAGCGAGATGAGCGCTGCAACCCCAGAGTCGGCCACGACTGGACCTAATGGTCAGGGGTCCCTTTACCTTTTTATAGAAGCAGAGTTATTTATAATTTGTCACACTGCTTCAATTGTTCTAGGACAACATAACCAATGGGAAACATGCTTTGCTCTCTGCCGTGTTATCTATCAGGGCTACTGGATTCTGTGTGTAATGACCTCTTGAAGGCAGGAGACCTACCAATATAGATAATATTGCTGAGATTCAAGATTTGGTACCGTAATTTTCTTGTTTTTCTCTTCTCACCCCTTTCCTTTTGTGTCTTGCTAAGATTGTGAGCCTTCAGGCAGATACTGTTTTCTCTTTTAATCCCTGTATAGTGCTTAGAAAATATTAGGTATTATATGTGATTAATAATAATAGTGACTAATAATAATAGTAGATAACAGTAGAAAAAACAACAACACATTCTAATAATTTATTTTCCATCTGCTTAACAGGTAAATCAGTTAGAAGAAAGCAATTAGTGTGCAAAAACCATATCTTGGTTGAAAATGACAACAGTACTTCCACTGTTGAGGTGTGGTGCCATCAAGATTCAACTCTAAAAGTATTTTGGGAACCCCAGTATGCTCAATAATGTGAACTTAAATTGTGAATGGCGGGAAGGGGTTATACAAACTCATGAGGAACAATGAAGGAGTGAAATATCTATCTTAAACTGCCACACTCTATAAACGTTCTAGGACATTCAGAATTACCTGGTGATTTATGTCTTTGGTAACAAAAGGACCAGCCCTATATTGATTAGATGACTTAACTGTGTAGGTGTTAAATTATACTGAGGATTTTTACAGTAATCCTAAACATGCAAGCAAGAGGAAGGTACCGTATTTAATTGGTGCATCTGGCTTATTTAAATAGGCTCAGGATATCCTTAGCACAGTCTTCTTAAGCACCTTCAGAATGGAGGGTTACATGTCAGCCAGGAATATTTAGGCATTGTTACTTTTTACACTCTTCATGATGCCAATATTTTTGTATTTATGTTTTAAGATGAATGTTCCACAATATTTATAAAGACCAAAGATGCCTTTTGTTACTGTTTCAAACTGTCGCTGCAATATGACTTGTCTGTAGTAAGAATTAAATTTACTGCAGTACAAACCTGCTGTTAGAAACAGTTAAGTGATCAATTAGGAAATGCAGGATTTGTGTGAAGCAAGTTATCAATGACTTTCCATGTATCATGGCAGAAAGTGTTATATATGATTATGGATTGGATACAAATGTGCCCATCCATCTGCAGAAAGATTCTTCCACTCAGAAGGGCTGTTATATAGCCCACATCAGTGGCGTAAAGTATAAAAGTGAAAGTAAATCCAAAACTGTTCATCTTTTTGCACAAGAGCTTTTTGCATAATCATGAGAAACACCATAGACTGGGCATAGGCAAACTCGGCCCTCCAGATGTTTTGGGACTGCAACTCCCATCATCCCTAGCTTACAGGACCAGTGGTCAGGGATGATGGGAGTTGTAGTCCCAAAACATCTGGAGGGCCGAGTTTGCCTATGCCTGCCATAGACCCTCCCTACTACACTATAGCATTGCAATGAGCTGCAAGCCCTTTGCGATATTGCATTGCCACTTCTTTTCCTTACGGTTCTTTGAATCCAATCCTAACAAGAGTTTTC